GATCCTGAGATATTTTTCAACATTATTTTGCCACCTATTATTTTTCATGCTGGGTATAGTTTAAAACGTGTAAGTAGTATCATAATCTATTAATATTTTATATTATTTGCAATCTATATATCATTGAATTTGTATTCTTTTCTATTTCAGAAATATTTCTTCAGAAATTTAGGAGCAATTCTTATGTATGCTTTAATTGGAACAACTATATCAGCTTTTGTTATTGGGTATGTTTTTTTGTATTAATGACAAATATGTATAACTAATAAGTAGATTCATATTTTCTGGCTATAATAAAAAGTATTATTTACATCTTTTAGAGCTTTTATGTGGAATGTTTCTTGTGATAATTTTGTGTCCATAGGTCATTTAGATTGAATATATCTGTTGTTTTCCTCATAGGCTGTAGATAAAAGAAAAATTTCTTTGTAATACAATGGGATACTTTTTAAATTATGCATTTGTCTTGTATGTATATTATTTTTTTCCAGAGTTTGGATGTATGTCTTTGTACAATTAATACCACATCTTTCCACTTCATTTACATTTTTGGATACTTTATATTTTGGTGCATTGATATCTCCTACGGATCCATTGACAATAATTTCTATTTTTAATGATTTACATGTAGATGTAAATTTATATGTATTGCAGCTCTATACAGAATTATGGAGAACGTTATCAGTCAGGCTCAGGTGGATTTGAAACTGTAGCATTTTTCCAAGCATTTGGTGATTTTGTTGAAATATTTAGTTTATCTTTATTTATTGGTGCTACCATGGGTTGTATCACTGCTTTATTAACTAAATTTACAAGAGTCAGAGATTTTACTCTTCTGGAATCAGCATTATTTGTTTTAATGTCATATAGTACTTTTTTAATTGCTGAAGCAGCTGATCTTACAGGTAAAGTGCACTTTAAGAAACTGTATTATTTTGAAACGTTATATAAATTAAATTTATCTTATTTTTTCTGCAATTGTAACTAATATTTCATTTAACTGTCCTTATGTAGGTGTAGTTGCTGTCTTATTTTGTGGTATATGTCAAGCACATTATACATATAATAATTTAAGTCCAGATTCTCGTCAACGGACGAAACAATTATTTGAGCTTTTAAACTTTTTAGCTGAAAATTTTATATTCAGTTATATTGGTGTTTCGATGTTTACTTTTCCGAAACACCACTTTGATCCAGGATTTATTTTTGCAGGATTTGTATCCTTATTTCATAGTATTAGCTTTTAAATTAACATGTTCACTGCGAATCTTATTGTCAGAACCTTTAACCCGGTACCCCTATCTGGAAGTGCAGAGCGTACTTCGAAAAGCGAAGATCGACGAAACGTGACTGTAATCAATTACTGCTTATCGAGACAAATGAGTTTTGTCTAAGCCAGAACGTCATTGGTCGTGTTGAAATAAAGAAACGAATCGCCTCTGACTTACGTGACTCTTGCATATATTGTAAAAACCACGCCCTTGAGGCTTATGCGCTTCAACCGCAGTGAATGTGTTAATGCTTTACATCTACTGCTGATAAAATCCTTAATCATTTTATTATAGCTCTGCGCGTTACTAGGTCGCGCAGCTAATGTATATCCATTATCTTTCATACTAAACTTGGCGCGAAAACCGAAGATATCGTTAAATTATCAACACATGTTATTTTTTGCTGGTTTACGTGGAGCTATGAGTTTTGCTCTGGCAATCAGGAATACTGTATCTGATGCTCGACAAGCTATGTTAACAACGACGAGTTTAATTGTAATTTTGACAGTCATTTTTCAGGGCGGAGCAACAACACAGTTTTTAAGTTGGTTTAATATACCGTGAGTTTAAAAAACGCTTTTTTGTAATGATTTTTAAAAATTCGATTATATAAATAATTTTCTATTACCTTTCAGGGTTGGAGTAGATGAAGAAATAGAAGGATTATCACATAATGGAATGCGCAGTGTAAGTATTATACTTTTACTTTCAGTTATTGTAAAGTTACTAGGATTCATTTTACAGAAGTAATAAATAATATAAAATTATATTTGCACTAATAATTTGTATGTGCTAGATTTGATTTGTATGAATTATTAAAATGAAAAGATTATAATAATAGTTAATAATAACTTCACTGAAAAAAATGTAAATAGGCATTAAATTGTAATTTAACTTAACTGTTGCTAATATTTATTTTAAAAGAATGCAACTTATTATTTTTTATAAACTTTTTAGATTTCTTTCAAAGTGCATACACTTTTAGCGATGTTGCTTATTAATATAACGTGAATTTGTCATGAATAGATTTATGATTATGTATTATAATAGTAAAATAATAGTAAAGTAGTTAACAATTTTTCGTATTTATCAATATACATATAATGTATATAAATATGTAAATAAATTTATGTTAATACATTTATACATATGCATACAAATATTATGATAATTAGAAATACCTTAAAGGTTGTCAAAAGCAAAATTTTAATAAGATCATTTTCCTTAAAATGTTATTAGATGAACTTCATATCAGAAAGCATCTCTATACATGTAAAAATTGGTTTCTAATATATATTAACAAGTATGATATATAATCTATAAAGTAT